AGTTATATGTGAAGACTATGTAAAACAAAAACACATATGGCTATCAATGAATGCATAAAGCAGATGTTCAAGTTAGTTTCAATGCTGAAGGAGAAAATAGGGCATGTTTCGCTAAGCTTAAAAGCAAGTAAAAATTTTACCATTTTGTAACTATTACCTTACTGCAGAATAACAGAATATGTACCTATTTCCAACTTTCACCAAAACACCTATATTATTGATTTACTTATGTGTGATGTTCTTCATTCCTCATCAACATTGACATCACATGAACCTAGTAAACAACCCGGCCAAGACGAGGAATATCATTATTTACAGTGATAAAAACGGAAATTTTTTAATTACCAAGTTTTCGTTTTCTTCAACAGCAATAAGCCGATAACGAACCAAATATACAAGAAAAGTTCTCTCAAGCCATTGAAATTATTAATATCTTCCCATTTTGTTACCTGAAATGAGACTTTGAATAACCCCTGAAAAAAACGTGTGTCTTCATGGGATTTACATTGGCATCTACCCATCTTCCCCACGTTGTTAAGGCTTTCCTAAATGCTTCAAGGACATTCAACTCATTGTACACATGGCTGCCTTCTTGATAATAGTCCTTCCTGAAACGTTCGATATTGTTTAGCATACATTAATAGCCACTCGACTACAAAATTGCATAACCGTAATAGAATGATAATGTATACTCAAGTCAGAATAATTTTACCCTTTGGAAGTTTTATCATGAGTCCACCAATGTCCAGTGTTGAAGACTATGAAGTCCGCATTTTTATATTTGTCAGCAGACCTTCCAATTATATCCAGTCGAAGTGTTTCCTTTCTCGTCCTATTTTTGTCTGTGACTTCCCATTCTTGAACCAAGAAAGGAGATACAAAGAACTCTACTGTGCATTTATAATCCTATGAATTATAACAACCCGATGACAGAAAAAGACACATAAGTTGAGATATAGGCGATGATAAAAATCTCATACGGACGAACAAAAATGAATTATTTCAACAACTTACTTCAAATATAAAGGAATAAGAAGCTTCATTTCGAAAATGGTGCCTGCCAAATTCTTCGTAAACTTTACTCTGATCTTTTAAAGAGTTCTTCAGAATGCAAACAAGAGATTCCCACATGTTCCTATTGAGAGAATCGCCAACAAATACTAATCGCTTCCCTCTTAACAATTCGAGCATATTAGGTGCATTCAACCTGGATTTTAGAGTTTAACACTATTAATTTGTCCCAAACATAAAATAAACAAACCATTTGCTCCAAGATAGTTAAATTAACAGCGCGAGTAATAAATACTTATCAATGTCTTTGTACTTATCAATGTCTTTGTAACTGTACAACCAATACAAAGATACTCAGACTTGGTTATCACTTGAAATAAGCATTAGAGTAACTTTAAGCCCTGAAAATCGTCAATTATGCTGAAACCAAGTCGTGGATGTGGAACTGAAGAAGAACTTAAAATGTCAATCAATAAATGTTCAAATGGAAGCCTAATCATAACTTTAAACTCAGTTGTATACTAGGAATTTTATAAATGTATTATTTAGGATTGCATCTGCATTTTCAATCGCGATACAGACTGAAAGGCATGATTTGACCATTATAATCCTCTTTCTTCTCCCGTGGGCGAACTCCTACAAATGAATGTTTGCTCAGGTGTGTTTCTAATTCCGTTTTTGCTTACTGACGATTCTACAAATTAGTGCTGGTTCAATTATAACAAACACAATATGAACTTGGCGAACAATGGATTCAGCAATTACAAAATTCAGAGAAGTTGATTGAATGTACCTTGGAAGGGTGCAACCCTTTGGCTTCCATCTAAGTTGGTGATAGCCATTGTCAGGCCTACCATTTTGAATACAGTTGAATTGCTCATCAATCAATGAACAAGAACCAGGCTTGTACAGTGGATAAGAATCATCTCTCAACCAATGCCCATCAAACATATCACAATTCATCAATGATTTGATTAAATCATCACTTCCTTGTTTTGACGAAACAGTCGAATTGGTAGCATTACTCTTCTTCTTCTTCGTAGAAGAAGTTAAATTCTTGGCCACCCCATTCTCGTTAATTCTGGTGTCTCCATTTCCAGTAACATTTTTTACTCCAGAACCAAAAAATTTCGATGAATTCGCGGTCTGATTCGCAGCCACAGGAGATTTTGCGACCCCAATTGAACTCTGATTCGCCTTCAACTCTTCAGTTTTGCCATTTAACTGTTTACTTTGAGTCTGATTTTTGAGAATTGAAGAGCCTTTATTCAGTTCAGAAGAAGACTTGGACGGTGAAGTAGTATTAACAATCTGTTTAGCAGGAGGCTCCTTGGGCAAAACTGTAGTATTATTTTTCTCCAAAACTTCAACTTTGTCATTTGTTTCTTGATTTTGCGTCTGGTTTTTGACGACGTCTGGCTCTCTATTCAGATTGGGAGGTTGCAAATTGGTGTTTTTAGATCTGTTTTCAGGATTGTGAACCTGGGTTGAGGAATTTGGGAAAAAATAAGAGAAAATTGAAGAAAAGTGAGATCTATAAGAATCGTCAGATAAAATTGACGATTTTGAAGTGGTAGTGGAAGTGAAAATGTTAGTGAACCAGGGAGAAGAAGAGTTTGAAGAGGGAGCAAAAGCAAGAAAAATGGTAAAGCCAATAAAAACAAACACAAATCCATATGCAACAGTTCTTTTGGTTTTTTGAAGAGAGAAATGGC